TATATATATATATATATATATATATATATATATATATATATATATATATATATATATATATATATATATATATATATATATATATATATATGCATGCATTACATGAATACATATATATATATATATATATATATATATATATATATATATATATATATATATATATATATATATATATATATATATATATATGTATAGATATATATATATATATATATATATATATATATATATATATATATATATATATATATATATGTATATATATATATATATATATATATATATATATATATATATATATATATATATATATATATATATATATATATATATATATATGCATGCATTACATGAATACATACATATATATATATATATATATATATATATATATATATATATATATATATATATATATATATATATATATATATATATATTTACATATATGGACAAACACACACACACATATATAAATTATATATATGATTTCATATATTTATAAATAAATAAATAAATATATATATATATATATATATATATATATATATATATATATATATATATATATATATATATATATATATATATATATATATATATATATATATATATATATATATTTATGTATGTTTATATATATATATATATATATATATATATATATATATATATATATATATATATATATATATATATATTCAACAATCCATTGATGCACATTAAAATAATTTTATATACATTTGCACATATTTTTTTGGAAAATACCTTTAGGGATGTTGTAACCATTGATCGTGATATCCTGTACCACTGAGTGCGGGAGACTGAAAGGTAAGAGTTTGAATGTCCTTTGCACTTCGTGTATGGTAGCCAGCGTGTATGGCAACCTGAAAGATGAAAGAAGAGTATTCTCAAATATTATTGGAGAATGAGAGGAAGAAATGTATGGAAAGAAATATTAGTTTAAAAAATAAATGTTGATTCTCTCCTCACTATGTTATCCACGAAAACGTAACACTCACTGGTCCATATGAGAGAAGGACGGCAGCTGGTCCCTGTCCACCACCCTGTCCAGTTCCTCATGGACACGCTTTTGGACCTCCGGGTGTTTGGCGAGCAAGTACACCGCCATGGACAGTGTGCTCGATGTGGTCTCGCTTCCGGCAACAAACATTTCGAAAATCACTGCCACTAGCTGATCAACTGGGGGTTTAACAGGTATTACATACATTAAGGATGCTTAGTGAGCCATTAGCGTAGGTGTTTCTGGAAATGTTGTTGGAAGAAGCAAGTGACGAGTAATAGCAGTAACATCAACAAAAATGGCAGTAGAAAAAGCATACAGTGGAAGAATGAGGGCTTGTCCTTGTGCTCCTCAATCTCTCGCAGGTACAAAGCCGTCAGACAGTCGCTTTTCTTCGCCGTTTCGTCACGCTGGAATTCTTCCAACTCGGCCTGGGAAGATGAATGTTACGTTCCAAACACTTGCAAGATTCGTAAAAAGAAACAATGCCATGTACACATAAATCGGCCAATAAACTAAGCTCTAGTTTACCTTGATGAATTTTGTAACGTTCTTTAATGGCTTAACGTCTTGTTTTAGTATGGGTATGAAGGAAGCTAACTTTTTCGCCCCAGGAATGAAGTGGAGAGGAGAGAGGAAGTTGATGTCGGCCGGAGCGATGAACGTCTTCAGGAGTGTGGCCATTTTGGCGTCGCCGTAGGAGTACCTCTTGCCCATAACCATCGCCCAGATCACGTTGATGATTGACCGGTTGAAGAAGCGCTGGGAAATCATACCTATTGTTATGTCTTTGAATGCACTATAATACACATCCACACATCTGCATACATATATACACATACTCTTTTATATTGCATCAATTTGGCCTTGTTTAGTACCGGTGCTCACCTGCATGACAATCGGCTCATCTTTCTTTTGCGCGATGTGGTCCATCAGCTCGTTGACTTCGAGGATCATGAGCGGCTCGAGGCTGGTCTTGCCGAAGCCCAAGTCCCTCAGATGGCGCAGGGCGAAGCGCCTCTGCTCGTGCCACAGCTCTCCCGACGAGCCAAGAATACCTGGAACAAAGGCAAGGTCTCACGGTGTAAGGGTAAGTAATGTCGATACTATAAAAGATGTACGATGGGATGCGAACTGATTGCGTATTTATGTACATGAGTCCATGTTTATATTTGTGTCTATGGTGACTGTGTTTATTTATTTTTTATTTATTTATTTATTTATTTTTCGGAATAGATCTACCACCAAAAGTCTGTTTCACCAAATACACAATTACATCCCTGCGATATATGACACATTCACAAATAACAATATCTATACGCGAAACTCACCGAGGGCTGAGTGTCTGCCGTCAGTGAGTAAGTTATTCCTGAAGCTTATGATAAACATCTCTGGGCGTCCAGATGCCTTCGCCTGCGAGAACACCTCCTTGATGGTCTTCAGGTTGCTGACCAAAACTATCCTAAGACGCAAAAGAGAAACTAGTACTTAAACGTATGTCTAGTTTATATCAGAATTTTATTTCCTCTTATTTCCTCTCATCCACTTTTTCCTTTACTTGGTTTCCTTTACTTGGTTGGGTTGCCTGTGCGAGAATAAACCAAGGCTTTTTATCCCTTCCCATTTTTTTTCTTTGTGCCCCTTAGGCATGCAGACAGTTTGCCATGTATTCATACAATTGACACTTAACTTTATATATTACTTGTATACAGCCACATATACTGCAATGCATTGTAATTCCCACGTTAGTCTCTATTGGAAAGTCTCAAACTTAGATAGTTATCATATCACTGCTAGTATCGTCTGTGATGTTAAAATTTTATAAACAACTTACCTTGAATTAAGAATAGCGAAACTTGCCAGATCTCCGTATTTCTTCCTCAAGGAGTTAATGAAAGACCGCGAGATTGTTCCTTTCGTAAATGGCATAGAACCTATTAGCGGCAGCATCGGCAAACCTAAAACAAAATAACAGACATGGACAAAATATCCAATAATAAAACGTCGACTAATAATACACCGTTCTAAATAGAGAAATTCTGGTTTAAGTGCAATACTCTCCGCTAGATCAGTTACCTGGTGGGAAGTTTTTCGGACGACCACCGGGAAGGAAAAAAATCAGGAGGACGACCAGGGCAAGCAGGCACGACCCCGCAAACCCCAGGCTCTCCACGACCCATGCCAGGACTTCGCCAAACATATCCCGGAATGTTTATTTTCTTATCTGCAATGAGAAGAGTTCGTTTCTTTCTCTCCCATTCATAGCACTCCATTCTAGCTATATCCACATGCTAGAATAACAACAAAGCCTTGCAATATAGCCCTGAACTGCTCATACACACTGACAGCGATACATTTTCAGGCAAACCGCACTCCTTCACTGACGTACAATTCGGAATCTGGATTACGTATAAAAATCTTAAGCCGGAAACCGCCCCTCGAGAAAAGATATGATCGCGGGTATTTTTTTTAAATGCGGCTTATCAAAATAATGATAATTAGGATGATGATATAGATATTGATATTAATACTAATACTGATATTGATACTGATATTGATACTAATACTGATATTGATACTGATGCTGATACTGGACCGATACTGATATTGATATTGATTCTGATAACATTAATGATAAGTAAATAAATAAACCAAAGTAAAAAAAGTGGTCTTGCAAGATCATTAAAATGTATGCAGTAAAGCTACGTAAGATTCAACGTCTTACAAACAAACACATCGTCTGTCTCACGTAATTATCTGTTACAACATCAGCGCAAATAAGAAACAAATTATTCGAGATTTCCGTATGTATATCTTTAGTATCAAACGCCAGAACAATAAAAAAAGATAAGATTTTAAAATACAACAGTTCTTCGTCACTCAGCTGGCAGAACATTCACTCACCTTATGAGAGAATTTTGCCGGGATACAGTTCCCAAAGCACTACTCTGGCACTCAAGTTCCCCTCCTACTGCTGTGACAGGTCTGAGTCCTTCTCAGTCTTGGTGGGAGGGGCTTCCTCAGCTAAGGGGAGGGGCTAGGTGCAGTGACTAGTATTGTGAAGTCGAGATAATTAAATAGTTAATAGTTAAAGCAATGCTCGGTAGGAGAGATTGAAGATATGATAGTATTTAGTAAATAAGAAATAGGTAAAGATTATGGCATATTATACTAATTTCTGTCACCTTCATGTGCATGAGAGAGCATTCTCATTAGCCGTTGATAGTCATGCGATTTCCCGACAAAGTGAACAGTCATATGTCATCAATGATAATAATGATAATTACATTGAAAATAGCGTCCTTGATAATGAATATGCAGTAGCAGTTGCAGTAGTAATAATGATAATAAGGGCAATGATGAAAATAATATTATGATGATAAAAACAACAATTTATATCAATCATAAGAAGGAGAAGCACACGAACAAGAAGAGCAAGAGTAAAGAGGCTGAGGACCTACAGACAAACAAGCAGCAGAATTGAGCGTAGCAAAGGATAGGTTTTGTGTCATCCGATTTCGAACCATTGAGGAGCAGTCAGCATGAAGACCGTGAGCCAGGATATCCTGTGCTTGTGCGACCACTCGTCTTTCAGGCTAATAATACTATTACAAAGATATATCTGTGTTGTGAACACGTTTTCTAAGATATCCCACATTCTTCTACAAGTCTTTCAAGGTATCCTACAATCTTTTACACATCTATGACACCATGTAGTCTGTTACAGGTCCTCTACGATATTCCAAAGTCCGCTACGCGTCCTCCACGGCGTCTAAACATCTACGGTATCTTCCAGGCATCTTACTTGGTTTACTATTTTTTTTAGAACTCGCATTCACCCTTACCTGGTAAGATTTGTCCTGTAACAGCAATTACACTAATCTCGACAAACTCGTAGCATCCTATCAACGTGCCTGCCTGGAAACCACTGACCTAGCCAAACTCCCAGTGATGCCTTTATGCTTGAGCTCGT